TGTTGTTCTATCTTGGGACAGGTTTGTAAATGGTCAATCATATATGGAAGCAGTAGCTAAAGCTATATTAGCAGCACGAGAAGAAATATTCATAACTGATTGGTGGCTTTCACCTGAAGTAATGCTTATTCGTCCTTGTGATGATGATTCAATGCGACTTGATAGTCTACTTGGTAGACGTGCTGTAGGTTTTCAAGATTTTTCTTTTTCTTATTATATAAATATATGAATATTTAGGAAGAAGGAATTCGTGTTTATGTCATGGTATTCAAAGATATTGTACAAGTTGTTGGTTTAAATAGTTGGCATACAAAATTAAAATTAATGTCTAAAAGTCCAACCAAAAAAAATATAAAAGTTATTCGACATCCTGATCATAGCGTCGTACCGGGTACTGAATCATCATTTCTTTATTCTCATCATGAGAAAACTGTAATTATTGACCAACGAATTGCCTTTATTGGAGGAATTGATCTTTGCTGGGGACGATGGGATACAGATGAACATAAGTTTGTTATTTTACTTTTTCAAAGATTTTTTTATTTTACACTTATTTCATTTATCGGGGAAAAAACAAATCTTCTCATGTTGAATTTTTATTTTTTGATTATATATCGAAGATTATTAATATGTTGATTTTTTCTTATTAGATTAATCGATTTGGGTGATGAAAATATAACGGAATTGCACATCCCAAATGAAATTGATGATCAAGTTGAAGAAGAAACACCAAGGGAAGAAGCTGCGGTTGCTACTACAGAAAAAATGGCAGAAAATTCTCTCGCCAAGAACGTTGTAAGAATATTCTCTTCTTTGATTTTTCATCATTTATTATTTATTAACTAAAGACAATATTTTATGTTAATATTACTCGTATTTGATTCAGAGAATCAGAAAAAAATTCTTGTTAAGAATTTACAAGACTCAAACAAGTTTTAGAAAACCTTTTTCTTTGACTTAAATTAACAACGGAAGTCTTCTTCGTGCTCAAGCTTTTTTGAGTCGAAACAATGATAAGAAATGTTGAAGTCGATATTTATATCAATTTCAAAGTAGATAAAGACAAAGATTATTTAAATCCATTATCATTTCGTTAAGAACATAAAATTTTTTTCCAAATTTATCGAAATTAGCATGTCGCATTTAATCAATATCATGTAAGTAGAGTTTTGCGGTTCTGTAAAAACAGGGAATAGAGCCAGAATGATAGTAACTGAAGATTGTTAACTGATAAATAGAGACCTGTTTAAGTGTTGCATAACCTGAAATCGGAGAGACCAGTCTATAATTTCACCAGTGGCAAATTATACGTATTCTTTGAAGTTGGATGGAAAGAGAAATCAACAGTAGCTAAAAATGTGATTAAGACCCCTGAAAGAATCCAACACCGTCAATAAATTATTTTTTCAAAACAGGCATGTTTCGGTGAACCGATGCGCTCTTGCATTAACATTATGGTTTTGAGTCATGCCCTTGTTAAAAACAAGGATTTTGCTATCAATGATGATTTTGCATCTTAAAAGGACGATTTTTCTTACAGCTGGTTTTCGGTGACACGTCTCGAGTAGTTTTCCATCATAGTAAAAGATAAAGTCTATTTTGTATGCTTGAAAGTTCATTATTTGAGTATTTGATAAAGAAAAAGTTTTTCGAAATTTGATTTTTTTTCCATAAACGTTTGTCAACTGTAATGATAATTTTTTTGACTCAATATATCTCATAACTGACGAAAGAAGAAAAAAAGAGTTACGAACGTGACTTGATCCGACTGTCTTCTATTAACTGAAAAGAAGAATAAACAATTCAGTTGATTTAGTTAGATACTATCGGATATAGGATAGAGACTAAAAATGAGCAGTACAAATATATTAAAATTATTCTAGCTCCTACTAACCACGATATATAGAGGTAAAATTCCTTTTTATTTCTTACTAGACACTTTCAATGTTCACACAAAGTTTTAGTTCAATATAATTCTTTATTAGCGAAAATATTATACACGTAATTAATAGTCATGACTTTCTCGTTCTTTCCTCCGCTTGTTTCATTTTATAAAGACATAGCGACTTCAAAAATAAAGACTTCAACACTTTCGAAAAGTGACATATGACTTAGAAATTTTCAGAGAAAAATGATTACATCACTTGTTTCCTATACTATTATTAGATCAATGGTTCCAAAGATACTTTTAAGAAATCGAATTTCAAACCATTTTTTCTCGCTTTTATTGATTGGAAGCATAACTGAACCATGGATTTCGATTCTGAACACTTTTTTGAAACTGGCAGACCTCTATATGCAGTTCAACTGCTATCGAAGGAGTGTTTTCGACACAGGTTAAGTTGTCAAGCAAATCAGCTCTAATTCAGACCCAACATATGTTAATAAAATTTTATTTCTTTGTTCGATAAAGAGTGACAAAGTAATAGATTGATTGATCTCGAGCTGTATCGTTTTTGTATTCCCGTGCCTAATTGTCGTACTCTTTTGTTCTTATGTCCTTTTTTTACAAAATGCAGTCAAATGAATCACATGATTAAAAGATACAAGCATCTTATAGAAGCGTCTGACCAACTAGTGAAGAAAAAAATTAAGGTCGGAGCAACATGGTGTGGACAACAAAATATTCTTCCCATTTCGATCTCTGATTCCAACTCAAAATCGACTCATTAATAGGGCGATTCCCCTCGTTAGATAGAACAATATTATGAAACAAACATCAAGGGTAACATTTTTTCTTCGCTACAGAACTTTTAATAACAACCGAGTATGTTTCTTGTTAATAATCATGAAATGAAGATTGCATCAAGATGAAAATAAATAAATATAATTATTTATGCATTATTATTAAGTAGAATATGATAGACACATACAAATAGATTAAATATTATTTTCTAATTGCAAGTTTAAATTTAATTGAGTCAATTAATGCAAAAGAATTCATATTTATAAAATCTGAAAAATCATTCTTATCTCACATTTATTGTCTTTTCTAAAAGTAAAAATAAATAAAAGTATCATAATAACATTAGTATTAGAATAATGTCAATGTTTTAGGCATTAGTAATAAAACTAATCTTAATGTTTTGGTATTATCTGCATTAGAGTTAATTATTGTCAAGTTGTTACCATTAAATAGTCATTATTTTTAATTCTAATATATTATGCTAACTGCGGCTATATTTATTTGAGTTCATCTTCGAAAAGTTCAGATCATAGAACAAACGTTTTTTTATACCCAGAAGTACTATTGTCAAAAACTGAATAAAATTGTTCAGTTTCGGAGCTTCGGAGCTCTGAATGTTCTATATATAGAGTCGTTGTTTATCAATATATTAAAATAAAAAATAATGATAATTTAATCGTAACAGTTTGGTATTAATGAATTCTTATGTAAACAATAGTAAAGTATTAAGATTAATTTAAATAATAATGCTTAAAATATTAACATTAGTATAAATAAATGCTAATGCTAATTGTAATAGAACACCCTTAAAAATGAACAATCGCCATTGAAAATATATATTCATTAATAATCGAATGATATAATATAAATAGGGATATGGAAGTGATTCTTCGAAGTTTTGACTTTAGAAGATGTTTCGAAAGTTAAATGTAAAAGAAATACTACGTTTCGGTTTTTGATGTGAAATAGGTTGAAGAATGATTAGTGAATATAAGTTTTTATATTTGTTAACTTTAAATAAATATAAAATAAATGTTAATAAAAAGTGTTATGCCTTTCATCTGACTTATTTCTATATAAATATAATTTACAAAAGAAAATTACGCAAAATAAATTAAATTTTCCATGTTCGAAAGCTCGAACAGTTTTCTTCTACTTAAAATTATGTTTTGTTTTTATTCTGAATAAAAACATTTTATCTTATAAGATAAATCATTATTAAAAAACCAATTAAAATATGAGATAAAAAGTGATTGTTTTCGAATATAAAAAGTCAATTGAATCTTTTTTTTTAAATCGATA